ATAGCTCTCTTTCACGTGTCCATTTTTGCCACAATGGCTGCACCGCGGCTTCTCTCCGCGTCCCACTTTCTCCTCACGTCGCCCAACTTCTCGGTCACCCTTGTCCTGGCGCACTTGAAAGCAGCCGCTTCCACTGCCGGGCGACGATTGGCGGTGATGTTTTTGTGTTGTTCCTCCGTTGCAATTAGGCGATAGGCTTCCGCGAGACTTGGAGTAGGTTTCATCGAAAGGATCTGTGTTTTGACTATCGAAAACGCTTCGTCCAGTCCCATAAGAAAATCGAACAGGCGATCGCTCTCATAACTGGTTCTGACCCGCCGTTCGACGTCGCACGTGCACAAGCCACAGGTGCACTTAGGGACCGGAGTAATCGTCTGCATCTCCTCCCATATTCCACGTAGCTTTGTGTAAAAGTTTGAAACAGTAAGCTTTTCTTGACGAAGTAAGCTCATCGTCTGCCGGAGTTCATAGGCCCTTGGTGCGGAAACCTGCCCAAAACGGGTTTCCAAGTCAACCCAGATTTCACGTGCCGTTTTGGCGTAGCGAATCGAGTTCCTGACCTCTTTCTCCATTCCCGTTTTCAGCCCACCCTTTACTAGGGCATCGCACTGAAGCCAAGCTCCCAACAACTCTTCATTGATCGGCTTGACGATGGTACCGTCGACCATACCCATCTTGTTCTTCGCGATGAGGGCCTCGGACATATCGGTAACCCACTCCCCATAATTGGAGTCGCTCAGCAGCTCTCCAACGAAAAGTTGCCCAGGATTATCTTACGGCAGTATGCGCAAGCCAGGCGGAATAGATGGAGGAATCTGACCGCCCGAACCGCCGCTGGTCGTCAGCATCTTACTATCGTCGGCGCCGCCCGTGCTCATTGAGAAATCGGATCGTCAATTGACCCGCTCTGATACCATGAAAAATCTAAGCAATGGAAGAAAGATAACACGACACAATCGATTTACGTGGTATCCTCGTTCAGTATGAACGAGACTAATCCACGGAGAAGGAAAACTCCTTCTCGGTCTTTCTTTTATTCACGTTGCTTAATTGACAGCGGCAGCCAAGAACAAGAATATATACTCAACCCTAACATTAATAGCCTAGGGTTGACGTAGGAGCTAAGAAGAGTAAAACACCCAAAAAGCCCCTACACATGCACGTAACCCTTTAGGCTATTGCCCTCTTTACTCTCAAAATCATGTAATTTAAATTTTTTTGTAATAAATTGACACAATATAGCGACTGATAAGACGTTAGTCTCCCTCACCAGTTCAAATTCTTTGTGCATATATTTTTAGTCATCTATTCGAATTTATGGCTTCGCTACTGAAAATCATCATTCCTCTTGCTTGCAAATTGTATATGGTTTCAATGCAATTATTCAGAGTAACTTGCCTCAAGTTAGTTAGGTCAAGTGCTCGTAAACGAAGGGTGAATTTTGTGGTTTGCTGGTAGGAGTCCATCCAGCCAGGAGATGGTTAGGCAGTCGACATTCCCAAGTGACCCGTCGAAAGCAATTTTTGGGGGATAATTAATTATGAATTTGGCCTCTAATGCTATAATTTCGCGTCGAAGAAAGTGGTAGGAGGGTGCTTTTAATCTCTCAATATTACTTCAATTAATCAATCAATCCAACGAACTAATTAATAAGTTTTCTGTTTGGTTTTGCAATGATATTGTATTACTAAAGGGATTAGCTTTAAGTAATCGACGTCTTATGACCTTGATTTGGACTCTTAAGACTAGACTAGTTTCCTAATCTCTATTATGACCGGTCACTATATTACTTTTATGATTGGGATCGACAATAGTCTAAGAAGTTAGAGGGAATGGATCAGGTAAGTAACTTTATGGTGAGTAATCATGAGTAACCCGTCCACATCAGCATGACATCAGCATCCTCTCTCTCATGGAAAGCCTTTAATTTTTCCCTCTTTAATTTTTGACGGACGATTTCTCACTCATTTTAAGTCGAAATTTAATTTTTTTTGCACAGTTAGATCAGATTAATTGTGCTCTTCAAAATGATATCCACTTTAATATATTTTCGAACAAAAAAAAATTGAGCCATTTTTTATCAGCCTATACCATATGGTATTGACTGGTATTGAAATAAAAGCATACCTATGTTTTGAAAAACGTACCATGGTGGTATAGACAAACCAATACTGTAGGATGGTTGAATACATGATAGTAGAAGTATATTAGTTGTAATTTACGACTTTTAACATTGTATACCACACAATACCACCCCGTACCAGGGTGGTATTGTATGGTATTGTGTGGTATTTTTTGGTCCTGTAATTTGTTCACCCAGAAATTTGTAGATCCAATAGATCATGATGAACTCGTCCCTTCTGTGCAAACGTTTTCAAAAACGAATTAAAAATGAAGAAGATACCATACAATACCACCCTGTACCAGGGTGGTATTGTATGGTATTGTGTGGTATTTTTTGGTCCTGTAATTTGTTCACCCAGAAATTTGTAGATCCAGAAGATCATGATGAACTCATCCCTGCTGTGCAAACGTTTTCAAAAACGAATTAAAAACGAATAAGATACCATATGGTATGCAGTTGGTACCGAGAGGCCAGAATTTTTTTTCCTAAAAAAATATTGAAAATTGATCTCATTTTGTAGAGCACGGTGAACTCGTTCCATCTGTGCAAAAAAAATTAAAATCCGAGTTAAAACGAAAAAGGTATGAGTCAATTAAGAAATCTAGTGAAAATAAAAATAGCTTTTAATTCTCCATCCTTAGATCTAGATTTTCTAAATGAAGGGTCCAGATTTGGTTATTGATGGGTGCATAACCCATGGTTATGCACCCTATCTTGAGCCGAAGTTAGAAGCCACATATATACTCGTTCATTACTTTCATAAGTAGTGAAAGAGCACTCTACTATTTGTCGATAATCCCATTGGTCCCTAAAACCCTGCTACTAATCATGGGGATTCGAGCAAAGAATTCCGCATCATTATAGGGTTTGATATATGCCAACAACTAAATAGTTTCCGATAACTCGCCTTTTTCTAAACTGATTTGATTCCAATCTCTTACATTGTTATGAATCCATTATATTTTATCTTCATTGCAGTTTCAATTGAGTGAAGTCTGTAACCTTGACTCATTCATCTAAATACGTGGAGTTAGTGTTCTATACAATTGAGTGAAGTTTTTGACCTTGTAACTAGTTCAACCAAACCAACCATATAGCTCGAATTAACCATTCATAATATATGCGAAGTCTAGAGAGGTAAGATAATATCACATAAGGAAAGCAATCGTAATTTGTTTACTAGGTCACCTTGAGCCATGAAGTTGTAAACATTAAATGTTCATCCGTGGCAGAGCCATGTTAAAGATAAGGAGCTATAACTCTCCTTGAAACGTTGATAAAAATATACGTAATATTTGTAATAAATTTGAGAAATAGGATAATTAGTAAGATTTTAGTCCTCTCCAATTATCACCATTCATATTCCTTAAACTTAATTATTTTAGTTTCTCGTTCAGATTTTCGACCCCAATATTTTTCTCTACACACATGTTGTACCTCATTTTGTAGGTAACATTTAACAATAACGCGACGTTTCTATTGTGTTTGTAAGACAAAAGGTCATTTGGAACCTAAGGACATTTGGGCCTAATTGAAGACCCAAATGACTATTCTAGCACATCACGGATAGCATAGCAACTCATAAATGTGTATAATAAGCTAGAGATGGAATATACCATCGTAAGATGCAATAGGGATCTTTGGAAACCAGACCTATTGTTTATATATGACAGTTGATGAAGTCATTGCTGACGAATCTCATAATTAGCGGGTATACCTATCTGTCTCCTTCGCTTCCCACTACTTTAGTTATCATCATTGCACAACTAGATTAATCGAGACAGAAGATAGTTATAGGTGTTTCATTAATTATATGCAACTTAATTTGTCTTCTAATGAGTTTTTTCTTTGCTTAATTTATCTCTATGCATGTGATCCCAAGAGACGACAAGAAAACTAAACCTCAATCAATAGTTTCTTGATGGTGATTTAATTTATTTGAGATGGGACGTATTTCGGTTTCCAATCACCCAAATCAAATCAAATGGTACAATATGCTGATGAAACTTCCATATATGGTAACATTTTCCTCATCCATAATTCCCTCCATTCAGTCGGATTAAAAAGTAATTAATTTGTCTCGATAAGTAGAGTTTTTTCAAACAAATGTCAAATTGAACAAAAATATATGTGTGGTTTAAGCTAACCTCCGTCTAAAGTATATTAATCTTACCATACGCTTAATGGGTTTCGTCATCTAAATAATGAATTAATCAAATTTGGGCATGATACTTTTAATAGATAAATCTCAATCTCTAATTTTTTTAAACTCAAACGATAAGATCAATTTAATAAATAAAAAATAATTTACAGTTCTAACTCTTCGAAATTTAATAAAGTACATCTCTATGTACAAGCGTATATTGTATATCAAGCGTATGTAACATTACATAGATCACTAATCTACAATATAATTAAATGGGTTAATTGCAAGGATGGCCACTGGGTTTACTAAAACCGTTCATGTTTGGTCACTGCAAATATTTAATTCCATTCATGGTCACTAAGATTAGTTCAATAGTTCAAGTTTGGTCACTCTCCGCTAGTCTCTGTTAGTTTTTGCTGATGTGGCAGTCAACTATTATAGTTGACCATTAAATGAGTGACGTGGCCATTAAAAAAATAATAATATTTAAATATTTACAATTTCCACCTCATTTTACAACTATTAAAAAATAAAAATAAAACTTACCTCCGCCATCTACGCCACCGTGGCCATGACTCGATCGTCTCCGCCGTCGCTCCTTCCTCAACGCCGGCCTCGCTTTGCTTCATTCTCCACCTGTCCCGGTGTAGTTTATTCTCTCACCTCTCGCTCGTGTCAGTAGACGCTCCGATTCTGAAGTCTGTAACCCTCTGCAGTCTGCTCCCTCCCGCAACCGTTCTCCCTCTACCCCTTGAAATAGCAGGTACGAACTTCTGATCGCCTCCTCGTTCCGCTCTTCTTCCTGTAATTCCTCCATTGGCAACCTGGAAGAGAATCGAATCGTCTCGCATGTGTACTTTATACTTCTTCGGTTCCATTTCCTGATTTCTCATAATCTCTGCTCGATTTTAACGCAGTTGGAGAATCTGTTGGCGTCTTTGTTCTTGATTCAGCGGGAAAATCTTGCGCTAGCGACGAGATGGGGCAGATCCAGTACTCCGAGAAGTATTTCAATGACACTTACGAGTACAGGTGCATAGATTCCGCTGCCGACGCAGTTCATTTCCCCTGTCGCTTCGCTCTTTCGTGTGGCTGTGTTTTTTCCGAGTGCAAGATTTGTGCTCTGTCCCTCTCTCTCTCGTTTATCTTGAATTTCTATGTCTACTGAGCAGGCACGTCGTCCTTCCTCCTGAAGTGGCCAAGCTGCTCCCCAAGAATCGCCTTCTCTCTGAGGTAATTGAAGCAAAGCGAGGCCGGCGTTGAGGAAGGAGCGACGGCGGAGACGATCGAGTCATGGCCACGGTGGCGTAGATGGCGGAGGTAAGTTTTATTTTTATTTTTTAATAGTTATAAAATGAGGTGGAAATTATAAATATTTAAATTTTTTTTTTTTTAATGGTCACGTCACTCATTTAACGGTCAACTATAATAGTTGACTGCCACATCAGCAAAAACTAACAGAGACTAACGGAGAGTGACCAAACTTGAACTATTGAACTAATCTTAGTGACCATGAATGAAATTAAATATTTGCAGTGACCAAACATGAACGGTTTTAGTAAACTCAGTGATCATCCTTGTAATTAACCCATAATTAAATATTGAGTTTGAAGCTTGCTGAAACTTGTCATACCAATTATGAGATGTTGCAAGGTTTTAAACACAAGCAATGCAGAATACTACTTTCCTTGTTGTGTTTTCGGTGCATGATGATTTTTTTTTTTGACAAAAGATAATTAATATATTGATCAGATTTTTTTTTTTTGACAAAAGATAATTAATATATTGATCAGATTTTTTTTTTTACAAAAGATAATTAATATATTGATCAGAAAACATAGATAGTTACACCTTGGAATTTAACCAGGTTAGAAAATCAAAATAACGACTTGCAGTTGGGTACAAATGAAGGGCCTTTTTAGCCACCAAGTGTGTTGCCCTATTACTACGCCGACCTACAAACCGCACAGAAAAACCTCTCAGCAAGCCCAAAACACCTACAATTTCCTCCAGAAGCGCCTCAACTCGGCTATCCCTAGTATCCGACTGGTTGATCTTATTAATAAGCACATCTGCATCCCCTTCAAAGCGCACCTCTGCAAACCCGTAATCCCGGCACCAGAAAATAGCCTCCCGAGAGAACTAGAGTTTCAGCAACCAATGGATCATCGATTCCCATGAATTGAAGCCATTTGGCCATGAGAATTCCCCTAGATTGACTTTTGACCACACCATGCCTCCGGCCGTACCTCGGTGCGTGATGATGGCCTAGTGACTTATAGTCAGAAGCATGAAACGTGAATCGTATATGACGAGTAGTTTTCTTTTCATATTAAAACCCTAACTTGAAAGTAACGAATTTCTGTGGCATGCATGCTCTGAACAGATATTTAGGGCAGGCATAAAAGAAACAAGGTTGGAGTAAAGGATGATTCACAGAGGAATATGCAATTATGCATGCGGGAATCGCTTTATCTCAACATTCGTCAAGTTGTTTTTACCCTTTTTAATTCCCTTCATGGATTAATGGAATTCAGATAGGGTTTGTTTGACGATGATCTCTCCTCCCACCTCTTTCAAATACACACACGAGCCAAATTTTAGCGTTTAAATTTCTCTAGATAAATAGGATTTAAGCCAACTTTCTACTCGAAAGAAGAGTATGATGATATGGTTCATATAGCAGCAAGGTATATAAAATCGAGCATAATGTTGGTCAGTTTATTGAATGAGCAAGAACATAATAGTAAAGTTTGTCTGTCGAACTATCTTTTTGAACCTCATTTTTCAAATCAGTTTATTGTCGTAAAAAAAAGAGTATACATCAATTATAGTGATATGGTTTCATCTCTACAATGGACCTTTAAAGTCTTTGATTAGTAGCTTTCATGCGTCTAATTAACTATCTTTTTTAATTATCCCTCTTTATCTCGTCGACATATATAATATAATGCATCCGAGGGGGAAATGAACGAGCTAGGTGCACAATTTTCAGCCATGTTCCAAGCATACTGCTTTCCCACAGCCATAAAAATAGTATATTCGCCGGTCAAAATTTTGCTCAAAAGAAAGAACGAAAAGAGATTCAGCTCCCACTTTTTGAGGGACAAGGACTACTCATCTTGTCCTTCTTCCCCCTGCTTTCGGTTCCCTGTTTCTGTTTCATACCCAGAAAACAATTGCTTACAAAAAAAATCCAAGTCATGCATCCATTTCTAAAGGCGATCACACCTCTGGCGGCAGAGCCACATCGATCGAAGTTGCGTTTTATGGAGGATCCCACTTTAGAAAATAGGCACATATTCATATGGTTGTTCGTGTTGAAGTCTAAGTAAGTGTTACTTATAGTTTGACGGACAATTTCTGACTGTTGCTTCGTCTTTTCGATCGATCGAATTATTGATAACTTGTAATATTTTTTATATGACTCAACCGTTGGTCTCGTCGTCATATAAAGTGATGCTATTAGTGAAAATTTATATACCAAAAAAAAATCGTTATTACTATGATTCTATATAACGATAAAGGAGAAGTAGAGAATCAAAACTCATGGTCGATCTTTATCTATGTGAAGGTCGGCCATGTCTATTTATAGCTCGATCATTTCTCGCAACTAAATGGTCGACGTATCAAACCGGTGATTTGAGTCTTCGTTGGTTGACAACATGCCTTCATTTCGTGCCGATGGAAGGAGTGATTAATATTATATCTACAAGGAGCACTTAAGACAAATATTAAGGGCATTAGAATTAGTCGGCAGGCTGAGAGGTGGCAGAGAGGGCCATTCACAGATAAACAAAAAGAGAGTCGGCAGGTCGAGAGGAACATGGTAATTAAACTATTAGAGCTATCTTGGATGTGTAATATTCAATTTAGGGAGCAATTTAAGGGTTTGAATGTACTGAGGGAAACAAATGGTTATATGTTCCAAAAGGGATGGAGATTTGGATTGTTTATTCATATATAAACAAACAGTTTCGTATCTAATGGAAATATTGCACAATGCACACACAAAAATACTAATATTTGATTCCAGTTAAGTACTACTACGTATATATGGTATTTAAACGAACCACGAGGATACGACCAACCGAATACATGTTATATATTGTAGATAGATTATGGGCAAAATCTTTTTATTGGATTACATCAGTTGGATTTCCATTATGTTAACAACGTATAATCATATGTAATAAAAAAAAAAAGTTATCTTCTAGTCTAACCCGTTGAATATTCTCCATCTCTTTTTATTTTTGGTAAGAGAATATTCTCCATCTCTGAATGTATAAATAATAATTATTTTTTGATATGATAATATAATATTGTTCACTATACAATAGACTTTCGTGACCGTGGCATGATGATAGAGACATAAACTTATGCTTGCCTCACATCTAGGACGGTTGGAAGTGTCACGGCTCACGACTATGACATCCTCCGTTTATGCGGTCATGATTTCCTTTTCTATTTATGTTAGGTTTGAATCAGTACCACATACAAGGCAGTTAATCATTGTAGGTTGTATTTATTCATTCATATTGCTGACGCTCGTCAAGCAGGCTACTTGGATTGGCCAGGGTTTTCTTCAGCTAATGATACCTCGATCCCGAAGTCTTAGCATTCCTTGATGAGGAAATAGACTCGAGAGCTCTCTTGTTGATTAAGCAAACAAAATATTTAAGAATGCTTCCTTTCTTATTCCTTAACAGAGGTTTGTCACTTCGAGCAGGGTGGCCGCATTTTGCCGTAATACTCTCCTAGTCATATATAAGGAAGCAGTGCTTTAGTTGCTGGTGTTGGGTTAGTTAATCAGTAACTGCCTTTTCCCAAGGGATCAAAGAAAGGATAGAAGGTCAATTCTATTGATCTACCTCTCTTCAAGACGACAAAGATAGGGACTAGGGTCTTATTTTAGTAGAATCGTAGTTCAGATTCAAGTCGGTTCAGTGAGGATGAATGTGAAAGTCACAAAATGGGTCAGTCTTCTCCTTCAGTTTTTCCTATATTAAAAAACAAAAGAGTGGGAGAAACAAATATACTCGAACAAAATGAGAGGTTATGCAATATGCTTGACTGAAATGAGAGAAACAAAGTCACTATAGTTTAGAGAATCAAATCGGTTCTATTAAGGACAAGTCACCAAGAAAATTCTGGAGAAGAAGCAAGCGTTAACGCGTGGTAAATATGAAAAGCAGGAGTTGCACACTGGTATAATAGGAGGCGACAAGATAGGAGCCATGGTAATTTCAAGAGAAGTATATCCTTCTTAGTCCATATATGATTCAATTTGTCTCAGATGTGAGATCCACCAAAAATACGGCGTACAAGTGATTGAGACTCCGCACCTTGCTCGGCATTGTGGAACTCCAATCTCCCTTTTTGCGTTTTGCCGGGATTTTTAGATGCAACTGAAAAAAATAAAACAATCGTGTGCACTTTCGATCTCACCATGGATTAGTCTCATTCACTCAAGAACGAGAATTTCACGTAAAACTCTGTGTGTTGCCTTCTCTATTATTCCACGTTATTTTCTTCATTGTGTGATAACCATAAACAGTGCAAGTATTTGAATTTGAAGAGACGGAGAAGATGTAAACGGTTAGATAAGTGAAAGAACAATGACAAACATGCTAGAGAAAAAGCTTGAAGTGTTAAAGATCAATCTAAAAAGTGGGTTGGTTTGTTTTTTATTTATAGAAAGCCTTGTATTATTTCATCAAGTAGTAGAAATATTACAAGAATCAGCTAAAAGCTTAGAAACCAGAAAAATTGGTGGTCTTGTAACCCACACTTCTACTTCTCCCATCCACATGTGGTATGGGCCATTAAGTGAGCAGATTTGTTACTGTTTCGACCCGAGAAGGCCACTTGGATCGGGCCCAAATTACTCAGATGGTCACGAAGTTCTTCGCAGAGAACTCCTTCTTCGGTCATCACCTTCTCCTCGCTTCTCAGTTTCTGGGCAACACTCAGGCAATCTGTCTCAATTTCACACTGGCCAAAACCATGCTCCACTGCTAAATCAATTCCCCACCTGATTGCCAAGCATTCCGCCATTTCCGGTGTCCATTGGACTCGGCTCCTCTTCACAGCCGCCAGACAGAACTTTCCTTCTCGATCTCTTATCACCATCCCAACACCAGAACCCTCCCCTTCGAAGCATGCAACATCGATGTTGACCTTGAAATCCATCGAAACAGGGGGATGCCAACGAAATTCCTTCTTCTCCTAGCCTCCTTCTA